CGTAACGGACGAGAATACGCACACGAGAGAGGTGGAAGCTTGACGCACACCAGTAGCTTAGACGCGAACGCTGCCCAGGTATCGACTCACAAGTCGGCCAGCCTCCGAGTGGTCTGCGCACCTAGTTCGCAACCATAAGGTCCCCGGTTCGATTCCGCGTAGAGGGGGGCGAGCTCGCAGTATACTCAGCCCGCGCGCGACTGGTGGTGGTCGAGCGACAGCGAAGCACCGTTACGTCGTACAGTTGACACATTAATAGTTTATTATTATTATCGACGCACACAAAAATCACGTTGCCAAACCGACTCTCAACTGACGGCGAAGAGAAAGCAAGGCAAGTGGTCCTTTGAAGGCTATTTTATGGGCAACAAAGGGTGAATCACAGTCAATACTATGGGTCATTAACTTAGTGAAAAAAGCTACCGCGACGGGGTGGTATTTTGTAAAAGAACATTGTCAACATGTGCGCAGTTGTGCCGCGTCTCTGAGTGGCTGAAATCTGCTGCGTTGGGGGAGGAATTGAACTCCACTTTCCCCAGCCATTGCGCCGGAGTTTGTGGCGCGTTTTTTGCGGGAATATTTGACAGGCCCGTAACAATGCCCTCCCCAACGGCAGTGGTCCACTTTTTCTTTTGGACTGCAAATCTGTAACCGCGTTCCTGGTCGATACTGGGGCTGAAGTAAGCGTGGTTCATTCTGCACCTGGTGAGGGGGCCAAGCCGGATCCTCTCAGTCTTCGTGTCGCCCAGCGCCCACTTGTCCCTACTTACGGCCAGCGTTTTTAACTCTTAATTTAGGTCCCCGTAGAACATTTTGCTGCGTGTCCATTAGTGCCGCGGTCAAGTCTGCCATTATCGGCATAGAATACTTCAGACATTTCGACCTCTTGGTCGATTGGAAACAACAGAGGATAGTCGACCCCACAATGACACTGAGCGACGCTGGCAACAACGACGGCATTGTAGCTATCACCCCAGTCTGCGTTTGCTCACAGACTTCTTTCAAATATGCCCAACTATTCTCCCAGTACCCAAAACTCGTTCAGACAATGAACGAATCTCTCTCCGTCGCATCTCAGGTCACGTACCTTATCCGTACCAACGGCCTACCCATCTCATCACGCCCGCGCCGACTGTCGCCGGAGAAACTGAGGTGCTCTAGGGCGGAGTTTGAACACATGCTCGAATTTGGAATAATCAGCACTTCCGATAACACTTAGCCCACTTCAGTCCAGATGGTCTTAAAGAAATCTGGAGACTGGCACCCCTGTGGTGACTACCGGGTCCTAAACAAACTTGCGGTCCCCGGCAGATGCCGCATCCCCCATATGTGGGACCATACCGCATGCCTCACAGGTAAGACGGTCTTCAGCAAGATCGCTCTTGTTCGAGCCTATCACCAACACCGGTTGATGAAAAAGACACCTAAAACAGCCATCATTACCCCTTTCGTCTTGCTCCAATATTTACGAATGCCTTTTGGGCTGTGGAAGGACGCACAGACTTTCAGCGCTTCATCCACTATGTCAACCGTGGCCTAGATTTCGCCTATTCCTACCTCGATTTCATTTTAGTGGCCAGCTCGTCCGATGAAGAGCATCTAGCTCATCTTCAGTCGCTCTTCCAGTGGTTGACCCAACACGGTGTAGTCGTCAATCCGACTAAGTGCAAACTGGACAACTCCTCGGTAGAATTCCTAGGCCATTTCGTCTTATCAGCTGGCATCGAGGTCCGGGCGGACAAGATCCAATCTATCAAAACTTTCCAGCTCCGACTTCATTTAAACGCTTACGTCGATTTTGTGGTCTAGTCAACTACTACCGACGCTTCATCCCCCGCTGTGCTCAACTCATGAAGCCTCTGAGTGACCTACTTAGAGGGAACGAACGGAACTTTGCTAGCCCCGACACAGCACACACGGCTTTCACTGAGCTCAACGATGCTATCTGCAACATAGCTCTTATCGATGACTCCGAACCATCTGCTCTCTTTTCGCAGACAATGGGCGCTTTAGACGCTGCGGTAGGAGCTATTCTCCAACGAAACTTTGGTGGACAGTGGCAACCGCTCGGTTTCTTCTCCAAATGCTTGCAACCAGCGGAATCCCACTAAAACACGTTCGGTAGAGAACTGCTTGCCATCTACTTGGCTGTCACTTCCGACGCACATTAGAAGTTCTGGCTTTCACGGTCAATACTGACCACAAGCCTCTCATTTTCGCTTTCAAGCCATGTTCTGACAAATATTCATCACAGGAAACTAGACATCTAGACTTCGTCACGCAATTCACTGCTGACATATGTCATGTCTCAGGTGTCGCCTAGCCCGTTGCCTAGGCTCTCTCTCACGTCAACCTCACTTTTCACTCTTTGTCTACTGTCGATCTCGCCGCCAAGGCATCGGTTCAGGCCCAAGACGAAGAGCTCCAGCGTACCCTGCAGTCCACTTCACTCCATGTGTAACCCGTTCCTCTACAAACTACGGACGGAACTGTCCTTTGTGACACTTCCACAGGTTGTCCAACACCCATCGTGCCCGCTTCTTTCAGACGCCCAGTCTAGGACTATTTTCACTCACTATCTCATCCTGGGATTCGGGCCTCTTTAAAAGTGGTCACCGAGCGTTTCGATAGGAAAAGCATAAACAAACATATTCGTAACTGGGCTCCAGCTTGTCTTCACTGCCAGCAATCCAAGGTACATCAACACACCCCTAGTCCTATCGGCTCATTCCCTGTGCCGGATTCGCGATTCTCTCACGTACACTTAGATCTGCTAAGACCCTTACCTCCATCTCGCGGATCGGTATACATACTGACATGTTTCGACCGCTTCACCTGATGAGCAGAAGCTATCCTTGTATTAGCTCTCTGTCTACCGAGTTCTGGCATTTTGTGTTGCTCCGGTTGGCTGGGCGCGTGATTGAGCAGTCAGACAGTCGCAGTCTCACAGGGCAGCTAGCAGCAGTACAACAGTTGTCAGTGGCAGAGAGCGGAGGGAAAGAAGAAGCGTTACAACAGTGGCGACGCGAGTACAACCGAACCCAGAAATGGCAATCAGCTTTGAACGATTGCAGATGCTTTTGCAACAATAACGGGCGTAGTTTGAAGCATACCAGGCCAAGCTGATTGAGATGCTAACTCAGAAGCTGACAGTGCAGTCAAGCCCAGCGTTAGGGACAAGTGAAGGTGCTCCCTAACCAGAAACCCTGACTCAGCAGACCGGTGTGTTTCATTATGACGCTGATGCCGGTATAACATTTATTTTTCAGTTCCACTAGTATGGAGATATGTTCCGGGTTGATTTCGCCAACCTTCTGGCGGAAAAGAAGATTCGACTAATGCTGCGGAAGCTGGGTGTTGCCGAACACAAGAAGTTCACCAATACTATTTTAATTAAAAAGAGTACCGATTTGTCGCAGTCCTGTCGCAAATTTTCGGAGAGCAGACTTCTTTGTTCAACATCCTATACAAGTGTCTGACAATAACAAAAAAGAAGACGAAGAATGTGTCATATACGTTTGTGACCTACAAGCATCCAAGGACGCCGACATTCGAACAAGAATACTGAACAAAATTGAGCGGAATCCGAATTTTCCATTGCAGCAAGTGACCGGTGAGTGCCAACGCATGACGAATCTGAAGCACGATACCGCAATGGTTCAGCAGTTATCCAATCAGAACGATCAAGGTTTTGCCTGTGCAGTCAGCCCTACTCCCACCCCACCCCCCCAAAAAAAGCTCGCCAAGTGAGCTCACCGCATTCTAAACCTCCCACTGCATGTTGGTTTTGTAGAGAATGGCATTTTGTCCACGAGGGCTCATTCAAAACTCACACTTGCAACGGCTGCGGCAGAAAAGGTCATAAGGAGTCATGTTGCCTGGCGACTCCGCCAATTTTGAATAAAAAGATGCGTAACAATGCCAGATCGTTCCGGCGTCCCAATTTGACCAGATCTAGCAACGGAACTTTCAGGGTTGACGGGGCAAGCAAGCGCAAATACGCAATGGTGAAAATCAACGGCTTTCAAGTCAAGTTACAAATCGATACGGCTTCAGATATCACCCTGATATCTCGCAACACTTGGTGCATGCTTGGGCGACCAACACTCATACAAACGTGCCACACGGCACGGAATGCTTCAGGAGGTGTGTTAAAATTACTTGGTCAACTGAATTGTCAGGTAAACTTCCGCGAGAAACAAATCCAGACGACATGCTTCGTGACAGACCAATCGAGGTTAGATTTGTTCAGGCAGCAGCAGTACAACAGTTGTCAGTGGCAGAGAGCAGATGGAAAGAAAAAGCGTTATAACAGTGGTCAAATGGATATTGTAGATAGATACATTAAACAAGAACACGGCATTAAAAAACAGTGGTTCGCTGCAGCCACCCGCCAGCTAGAGATCCTTCCACACATCTGGAGAAGCACCAGACGAGTGTTTCGTTTCATTGGGACAAACCGACACTGTGCGACCCCCGGCTCCACCACGAACCGAACCCACAACCTTCGACACGGTTTACAATATCGCCAGATCCCCATGAATCATAACTAAAAGTGATATAGAGCGGCTCATTATCTCCTGCGATACAGGTCACGAGCATCAAAATCCTATGAGTAAACGGGAAATTCATCCGAACATCTTCTAAGTACCATGTCGTGGATAGCTACAGTAGGGGAAGTCGTACGTCCGGGAACTGATGCTGTCCTCCGCAAAGTTCGTAATTTGTACGGCATAGGAGAAATATCAGCGCAATATCGCAATTGGCTTGTCAGTCAAGATGGCCTGCTGTCGCCACTCGTGGACTAGTGGGGGTTCGCTAGCGTCAAGAAGGTATGGATTCGGTTCATAGGGAAGATGGAGATGTGCATTACTGTCAGGTGCAAACAGCGCGAAACGGCCGGTTGGTGCCTTTCCGGATATGTGAGGTGATTCTGGGCTAGGAAGTGACTGTGATGGACTATCAATACACATCAGAATTTTCTATTCACAAGCAAGGTTTCAATTTGCAACAATAGTACGAGAACTCACTATGTAGTGGGATATCCGTAGAAGCAAGCACAGTTGTAGCGCAAATTCCCGATCATCTTCGAACGTGCTGCTAAGACCCACAAACAAATGAGAAACCAGCAAATAGGGATCAAATGGACACAATTGTTCAGACAGTGCGAGCGGGTCAGTGTTGGACTGGCTGATGCGTATGTCATACGCCCACCAAGCAGCCTGGTTGAGGATTCGATGTATCGTCCAATTGGAATCACTGTCGAGTATCCCTAGTATGAAAAAACAGAAAGGCCTGAGTGCAAGCAAGAAGAACGCGTGGAAGTGCGGCGAATTAGTCATAACTCATGACAAGTGTTTAAAACAAATAACAAGGGAGAGAAGACGGTGCAGGAAACCACATAAACAGGCCAACGAAGATTAAACATGTCAGAAAACGCGGTATCATATGAAGGAATCAAGAGGCAGGATTCGATGAAAACACGGTCATAATGTGATAGGAGTGTCCTGTCAAAGTGAACAGACCGATCAAAAAAGCGAGCTAGACAACCAATGGGAGAAAAACAACAGATTCTATCGCTGGACACGGATTGGCCGATGTTAGTGCGCGCTAAAGTGAGTTTCTATAGTTTGTTTAAACAAGTTGAAGGAATCTCATCGGCTCATAAAGCTTCTGTGTGCCAAACAAGTAATTTTCTATGGGCTGACCGTCGAATAAACGCTTGTAGCTGAAGAACTGACTTCTGTGACGTACTCAACAGAAAAGTAGATCAATCAATCAATTCGATCAATCAGGCTCAGCCATAGGCCTGGTGAGCAACGCCAAGCTGGAGTCAGAGGTCTTAAAGAAATCTAAACAATCATCGATGCAGTGGGGAGGGGATTGAGTAGTTAGGCGTAGTAGGTTAAGGTAGAAGTCCCGTGAGTGCCGAGAACGAGTATGAGTTAGGAAGCATACCGTTAGTGTGATGGTACAAGGCGGGGCGCAGATAGCTGATCAAGCGCAACAAACAGAAGAAAGTGACGTCCGTGAGAGGAAGTTCGCCTTGCTACGCGAATGTAGGCATGGATAATAACAACAGCAATAATAATAAAAACAACAAATGCATACTACGAACGAGCCCAACGGTATGAGAAAGCTTCGTGTTACCTCATTGTATCTCCAAGTGCCGCATCATTTTATGAGGGCATGGACGCCGCAGTATATAGGCCTGGAGACCATTCTTCCGCATAATACAAGGTGGGTTACAGGGTTCAGACGAGTGAAGAGTTGGGGAGATCCGAGAGTTACTTCAGCTAAGAGGTGACTTGTTTTCAAGGCATGAACAGGTGCTGATGTGGGGAAAGAATAATCTTAACACTAACGGTCTTCAAGAAACAACCGCTAGAAGGCGGTTGTGAACCGCTGAAAGTTGAAGTTGTCACATTTGTTACTATGTGGTAGACGATTGAAGTGTCATCCGAAAAGTTCTCGTAAGACAGGAGCAACTGAAATCCTCGCTAGTCTCCAGACCTGCAGAGCATGAACAGGACATTTATGACCGTCTTCCGTGATCCAAAGGTCACCTTCGATTTTGCTGACTGCACCCGTTGTCGGTGCTGTGCGTGGCAGCACGGCCTGTTGGGAAATTACTTTCCACTATGAATCCCCAATTCCGTGACCATAGGGGCGTGCATGAGTCTGTTGGGACGATCCCTTTGAGTTGGAACACGTCAAGTGGGGTGCGTCAAGGCTACTATAACATCTGCTTTGTAAATATAAATAATCATGAATGACTCCTTTGGTTGTTATTGCTACTGGAGCGAAAGTAGTATCAACTAGTCGGTCAATACGTCCAGAAATATGAGAAGAGTATGGCTGGTATTAACGCCGACCTAGCTGTAATCCAAACGCTGTGCAACAGACAATCGTAGAGCAAGGTATAATGAAGTTCGCACATCCAACTTACAGATCAACGATAAAGAACTAGCCAGTAACATTCAGTAGCTTTATCACATCTGACGGGAAAGTTCTATACTGGGTAAGATCGCGTGGTTTTCCTCCTCCTCCTTGGGCAGCTATGGAGAAGTCGAAGGTCTGACTCATAGATCAAACACAGGATCTGTGATGCCACAAACCGGCAAGAAATATCGCATGGACTAGGAAGCAACTAACATTGTCGTCACATATCCTCAGACTATTCGACAACGACCAGTATAGCCGACAGATGAGGGAAGAAAAACGAGTAAGTCGGATGCATAGTGCTGAATCTCGGTAGGCACACTAGGCGCATGCACCAATCGAGCCCTGAAGTGCTAGAACGAAGACGCACAATTGGAAGAAGAGCACGTGGACGGGATAAACGTACTACTGCATATTCTAGAAGGGTGATAGTCTGGACAAAGGCATACCGACTTTGTTAGTGATCAATCAATAAACACTCATCCGAGCAGTTGCAGGCCACAGCGTGCGTACTCGTGTGGCGTGACAGAGAACCAGCGGTGACTGTACACCCACACACACACATGCCATTTGAGTGCATGATCCGCTCATCTTCCATCTACCGTCCGACTGAAGTACATAGCTTGAACTGTTCACTCTAGCCGGCGTACAGCAAGAGATCCCTTTAGAACGGTGTTGGACTGGTCAGCTAAAGTGAACTGTCAGCACTAGACTGATAGCGTGTCTTGTAAGTCTTGGCCGGCAGCCAATGTCAATGCTGCACCTAGTTGAGCAAAACTCCGAGACGGCTAGTCGATGTTGCGGCATAAAACAGGCATAAGCAGTACGCCGGTACAACGTACCGACACTTCGCTGCCGCGCAACCACTACAGTCGCGCGTGGGCTAAGGACACTGCGAGGGCCCCCTGGTCCCCTATGCAGGCTGGAACTCGCGTCTTCGGATTAAAAGGCAGGCTTGTGATCCTTAAGGCCACGGGTCGGCACAGAAGCATGAGTAGACTGGTGAAGGTAATCTTTATGGATAAAGGTTTCGAGATAGATCAAATATCTAGCACAACTCACGTATTCACGCTTATGGTCATGTGAGTATAGAGATTAAAATTGCCGTGTGTCTGATCTAAATTCTGATAAACCTTTGTTTGCGGGTTTGCCTGCGTTTTATTCAGTTTTTACTACATATGCTATTCGTCGTTTCGTTTGCATGGCGTCACAGATTATGGCAGTGGAATCCATCACATATTGGCAGACTAGCTGAATCAAAGTTGAAAGAAAAGTGTACACGAACAAAAGCAGCGCAGATACGGGACAGGTCATGAAAAGGTTGACACCCAAACGTGACAGCTAGCAAAAAAGTGAGCAATATATACAGGAGACGTGAATCAAGTGGCGGTTTAGAAAGGAAAAGGTAGAACGTACCTTTGTCTCCATCTTCTGCACTGGGACACAGTGCCATAACTAGGCCGTACAACCCGTTGAGGCAAAAAGACAGGCGAGGTGCAGGAACTCCCGGGTAGATGCCTTGAAGTAGTAAAGCAGCCATCCGGATGAGGATGTCCTGGGTCAGATAAGAGTGAGGAGACATGTGTTCACATAGCGCTTGGAATAAAAGGCCGATAATTTGGAGTAAAAAGAACTACCTGACTAAACATCGAATCCAAGAGGCTTGATGATTTGGGTCATGAAAAGGAGCGTCTGCGATGTGCACTTCATGCTAAGGTAACACGCGCAGCCTGGCTGCCAAGCTAAGGTGAGAGTGAGTGACACAGAAATGCTTGACGGGTGTTCAGACTGAATGGTAGCCGGAAGCACATACAGTGTGCAGTAACTGGATAGACTAGGCTACGATTAGAGATTGCGCAGCATAATTAACTGGTCGACTTGAGGGTCGTGCGTGAAGTTTTCTCTATCAGGTGTACAGTGTAAGAGATCGAATCTTACAGCCGCCTACAAGCGTGAACATCCCCGTCGGTAACGGGATAGGCTACATGAATTGTTCAACATGACCTATCAATCGAACAGTGATAATGCGCATTAGCTCTGAAGGATGTGATGGAATGCGCCTGAAGTGAGTAAGACAGTTAATTCAAAGAAAAATAGGCAGTTGGACAAAGCAATTTCGTTGATTAATTGAGAGTTTGTCGCACTAGCTTCCAAATCAGCTAGTCCTCTACATGCCCGGAAAAGCACTAAACTGTAGTTTCAATCCGTTGGGCATCATCAGTACTGCGTGTCCATCGGACCCTTCAAGATTCAAATCCATGACCAAGAGCGGCTTGTATCGTCAGTCAGCCAGCTTATGCTAATGGGGATAGTGTCGGACCGTCATGATCTACAGGCTAACTGTGATAGGGCACGCCTTATCCTTCATTGCCATGGAAACTGGTGCGACGAATTCTCCATTAACTACATCAAAATGCCCTACCCATGAGTACATCAAAAGTAAATAAGTGTCCAGATTAGGACACGCTAGGTGTTTAAAAATTATCAGCTGTAGAAGTTTGGAGACACCAAACGTACTCTTGGCAACAATGAAAAGGTAAAATCAGGCGCATAAATAGGAATACAAACCAGTCTATGCTGCTGCAGTAAGCACAAAGAACACCGTAGGCTCAATGTAATTAGTCAAGTAAGATTCCAGCGGTGAGTAAATATAGAAAAGGTTACCAAGGCTTGCGTCACTGCGAAAACAAAAAGAAACAAGGAGTGAGAAGAACACTGTGAAAAACCGGGAAAAAAGCATTAGAATCAAGGCTGGGGGAAATAACGAGAGTAGGTAGATGAAAAGCTTGACAGTAAGAAGCACCGAAGCGTATACAGGATAGCTAGTGAATTCACAACTGAGACAAAGATGATAAAGTGGTTGGTAGCCCATTTGATACAATTCGAGGCGCTCGCGCGAGGGAAATGACGCGCGTCCGTTTGACCAAACAGCTTTAACAACAACACCATGTTGTTTTCGCTATGTCATCAGTCGGCTGTAAAAGGGACTTGATCCAACCAAGTGTTTTTAAGTAGTAGAGGATTTTTTGGTTTTTGTGTAGACCGTCGCAGTTAGACACAGGCAGACAGTCACTACACATTCAGGAAAGTACTAAACAGTTGTTTCGTCCTATTGGGACTCGTCAGTAGCGTACACCCGTCGGATTCGAACCCAAAACTTTACTCTTGCGAGTCAGCGACTTATGTCAATGGATCATGGGCGACGGCAAAGGAAGTCATTGTTCTGGGGTAAGTCCTATCCTCTGCATCATTATAACATGCAAGGAAGTGGAGGATGAGCCGCGCTATATCGCAGTTAGATAGCAGTCATGACGGTCCGTTGCCGTTGCTCACGGCTCAGTGACATAAGTCACTGACTCGCAGGAGTAATGTTATGGGCTCGAATCCGGCGGGTGCGCGCTACTAACGAGTCCCAGTGGGACGAAAGGGCCGTCTAGCGCTTTTTTGGATATTTGGTTGCTGTCTGCTTGCGTCTCACTACGATGAACCAATCAAGTGTATCATTGAAAAACAATGCAGTGATGTAGTCGGCTGGTGGGAGTGTAAGTAACATCAGCAAGCTAGCGTAGGTGAAGCGATTCAAACAAGCGAAGAAGGATTTTCACGGCATGCGAAATGGTAGACCGCAGCATTTGGTGCTCCCCAGGTATGAGCAAAGCCCCGCAGATATTGGCGATGACAGAACGCTACAGTCCTTCCAAAAGGAGTGATCATGATTCCCAGTCAGAGAGTAACAATGAACAAACTCCGGCGATGTCAATTAAATCCATTGACCAATAAGCTTGCGGCTCGACACCATACAAGCAATGGAAAAGCCACCCGGATTGCGGGTGACCACTAACTCTGTGACTTGATTACCAGGACTGATACAGCGGCCTAGAAAATAAAACACATCGACCATATCCAGGAAGAAACAGTGGCGTGATGGTCTAGCTATGCAGCAGAACGTCAAAGTTTGGGGACCCGATACACATGTGGAAATGTGCAGTGCGCTACGTGAAATCACCCAACAATACAGGTAAACAAGCAAAAGCACAGTGACCGGATTGTGACCATGACATTGGGGAGGGGAGGGGGGGAGGAACATGTGAGTTGGACTTACCAGGAAACATGAGGGAGAGGAAACAAATTGCATCTTGAGTTCCCTCATGCGAGCTGCGGCCTGAAAAAAAAGATGGAAAATAACAAGTGGGCATGAACTGCATGAAAGAGCTGATGTAGTTCGTATGTTGAAACTCTACTCCTAAAATATAAGCACAACATGGAATGATAGGTTCAGCCTAAGCGTGTAAGGGACCGATCAGAACCCAACTTTGTCCTAGCTGGAAATAACTTGGTTACCGTGAATTGTAACGACAATAAAGAAATTATTTCCGAGTCGGGTGACATTTGCAGTAGCCAAAAGTCACACACCTTCGTGAGCATCATTGTTATCTCAAGTCGTTCCGTCATACATAGTAGCCACGCCTTCAACACTGATACCCCATGGTTCGAGCGGCAACGCAATGAGTGTCAGTGCCCGTTTGACTCATATATGATGAGGGGAATATGAATACTCAGATATAAGCCAAAGCAGTGACTGGTGGTAGAGCATCTTTGAGTTGGAGTATACATATGGGCAACGCTGAATACTAAAAGATAAACTGAAGAACATGATGTGTTAACAAACACAAAAGGTACAAATTGCGACGTTGCTATGGTAGTTGCAGATGCTCCGTGAGAAAACGACACGACTGTTAAACAATGCCAAGTACTGGAGGTCCTGGGTTGCTCACTAGTATACGAAGTAGGATGCTCGTTAGGAGAAAGGCATGTTTCGACGCTTTTGATCCAGCCACCAGTGCACTTTTGAACGACTGCCACAATTAGACTATGTGAACTGGCATTTAGCTGAGTACAATTGCGGTATGCGAATCGTATTCAACTGATATGACCTAAAAGTACCCTCAGTATCTCACCCCATTTCTGTATTGTGTTTGGCAGCTGTTCAGTTAGCGCGTTGTTTTGTCCAAAGTCACTGACTTCTAATTTTATCTACTGGGAACTTCGCGAACTTGACTAATAATGACAGGAATAGCACAGGTTTGGGAAGAGCTAACAGGTGAAAGGGGAAATCACTGGCATGAGACGACATAAAAAGCCGATGGCAGATGGATTAGTATACGCAGTGGTGACTGGTATCGGCCTCGATTATCAACATTGAGATGACGCAGACGCTCTCGTGGTAGGGTTGGGCACACCCAATGACATACCCTGTATGTCTCTTATATGGCCGTAATCTGGTCCAATAGGCAGAGTAATTATATCCTGTTCAGGATCCCCGGAATAGCGTGCAACTAAAGCCAAGGACAACAAGCCGTTCCACGCCCACTCCTGATACGAGGCATCAGCTGATTTCTACCAATATTACCATTCAATCCGACCGACAATACTGATAGTCAAAAAGATGCTTGATGCATGTGGCGATAGACAGCATAGTACGCACCACAAAAATTGTATAACAAAGCTGATGCCTCAAAGGGCGCTCTAGGGACCATTGATTGAACCGCAAGCAGTAGAATACGACGTCGATCAACTGCAAGAGCTCCGTGGAAATCTTCGTACGTTGAATGGAAGCCCGAAGAAAGTTCAGTGCATCAAGCCGAATCTGAAATCCAGAGAGACAAGGAGATAGTGGAAGAAAGATTGCCGATATAAAAAGCAGAGGTTAATACACTTGGAGAAGTTGTTAATATAAAGACCGTCATAATTGCCCTTGAAAGAAAGTGGAGTGAAGATACCAGTGACTATTAGATGTGTCAAGTTGGCGTGCGACAGAAGAGGGTAGAAAAAAACGAATACCCATTAGTAAATCGAGTACATGAAGTAAAGTAGGGAACTTTTCCACGTAGTGACGTGTGATTCACAATGGAGTCATGGATCAAGTGGCGTCTCACCACGCAGAGGTGATGTCTGCATTTCGGTTAAACACAGTGTGCATCAGTTCACGGTCGACTAACATAAAGGACGAGTGTCCCTAGGTAAAGGAAGGTGGGTGAAGCTTTTCATAACTGTTCAGATTGGAGATTTTCTGACGCCAAGCAGAGCAGCATGCATACTGAGGCGGTAGTGGTCACTTCGATAATCGAGACAAAGTAGGTACTACTCCGAATCTGTTGGACTTGTAAACACCTTCAACCATGCTCCTCGGATGAAACACAAAAAGGCGATGAAATAATACGAAATGAACTTGGATATCGGTAATCAGATAAAAAAGAAACCAAATAGGAAAGGAATTGAACATGAAAGCTGTGATGAGTGGAAGTGAACAAGTCGTAGCTAGTGAATGTCGACTAGGACGAACAACACAGTCAAAAATTTAGATTGGTTGTAGTGGAATCTTTTGGGAACACCACGAATGCTGCATCGGCTTACCTGTAGATCGGAGCAAACTAGTGCGGTTTGAAGTAGAGGAATGATTGAAAGTGTGTCGTCTGTATCGTCCTTTTTGGTTATTTTTCGTTTGGGATAGTTGAGTAACCGATAACAGGTGAGAAGCAATGGGACACTATAGGTGGATCCATCTAGGGGGGGGGGAGAGAAGACCCATGTCTGAGCAAGACGAAAGAACAAGTGGGGACAGTGATTGTTATGATCCTTGTATTTTTATGCAACCGCAGTGATTTGACATGACTCATCGACTAAACTGCACTGCGAATTCCAGACGCATGAAAGCTAATCAGTCAAACATGCATTTCATTTGTCGTGCACAGAAAATTCGACATCCTCATCTAATCCGACTAACCGTTCTCCGTCGTTTCCATATGAGCTCTTATCGTCCAAAGAGGTTAACGGCGGTATTAACTAACGCCCTGCAGAATTTCAAGTACGGAGTCAGTTAAGCAGGTCAACAATGGCGCCTGTGCCAAAGTTCAGTGGACTAAAGTATCGATTGAAAGCGTCACGATAAGTAAAGCCGAAAACGGAACGATGAAGATAGAAAGACAAATGAGGGATCAAAAAATGTTAACAGGCGTCAGAATCGTCAGGAAGGATGACAGAACGAGAAAAGTCAAAACGGGGCGACTGTGAGATCATGTGCCCAGATTCATGTGCACAACGGGTGCCCCGGAACCCAAATAAAATACCGCTCTCGCCAATTAGATCATGAAACATACATTTGCAAAATAACGTCTCGTTTCATCTGCATGCGTTAGTCCGGTTCACATTGTACACCAGTATGCATACACATTACTTCTACACAACTACGCCCGATCAAATGTTCAATACCAATTGAAGGTCGAAAGAGCCGATGTGGCTATCGATCCGATCAGCGAATAGCAGCTGATTGGATGTGGTGATGGTGGCTGAGAAAGAGCTCCGTTTCGAAAAAGATGGAGAGTGCTTATCGCGTCCTACTGAAGAAAGTAGAAAAATGACAATTCGTTTCGCTAAGGATTAATGAAGTTTAAGCTAAAGCTTAATGCATACTGGCTCACTGAGATAGTCTTGACCCAGGTAATCAGGTAGCATCCCCCACGATGCGGTCCGTAGCTGCTAGGCATTATCCGTGATGTGAAAAGTAGTTGGGCTTTGAATACTCAGAAGTATCCCTAATAATGGTGATCCAGTGAGCAAATAATCTGATAACTTGGGAGCGGGCGGTGAGTAAAGTTACAACAAGCACAAGATCGAGATAAATAAGAAAATTGACTAAAACGGTGGCAAGAAAGATTTCCAAGTTGATTGGTGCCTCTACAGCTATATTTTACGCACAAAGCATCGTTGACAATCAATAAACTAACACATAATCATCTTGCTTAAAGGCGCACCACCGTGTGCCACGTGTCTGCTCTACCCAAATAACACTAGTGTGTGGAAAGTGAAATTTTCGCAGATGTAAAGGGGTAGCAAAACACAAGGGGCTCCGAGTTGAACGATTGTGAATTTGAAGCACAACAAGGACAATAGCAGCAGCAACAACAACAATGACAGTACATTAGCCATTTGAACTGATGCGTCGCTGCTGTACAACCAAGCTGACCTACAGAATGACGAATAATAAGAGGAAGGGGGCTTACCTGAAAACCTTAATGCCCTAAGCAAACATTCAAGGTAAAGGCGCCTACACCCCGTTAACAGCATACGGCCACAAACAGCTGGCTGTCATACCAAGATAAGGCGGAATAAGCAAGACAGCTTGTTTGCGGCTTTCACTGCCACGCGTCATAAACAGCCATCACCCTGAAGATAACTCAGCACCAAACACACCATAAATAGGCAGTCCGATTAAGAGACGGCAGCAGACGCGCCACTGGTGTCGGTTGCGAGCCATGTCCTGTAAAGTCTCCAGGCAATCACAAGGTGAGTCACGTGCACTGCAGCCTAAAAGGCGTGACGGACCGACGGCATCAAGGTTGGTCGTCAGTGACTTCATTTTTCACTGCGAAGTTACTTTGTGTCCACTTCGGGCCCTACGTCACCCTACATGTGGTAGACAAAACAAGGTCATTCTCGGTAGGCTGTGACCAGACATATATAGTACGAGTCCAAGCCATCGCAAATTGTTCAGTGATATAGGCTGTTCTAAGGAACCAGCATGATAATCACTACCAAGCACTTATCTACGCATATCATGGTTGTGGACACGCTGGTGTCACCAGACACCAGCAATGCTACGCAGACAACGATGATCAAAAACAGGTCCTCAGACAGAAAAGGCGGTCTCACTCCCATAGAGCAGGACTGCCCTCACTGTGGAATGTACACACGGCCTTTCAGACGGAGGGGAAGTCCCTTCTGTCGCAAAAATATTGCAGATTCAAGAAGGCAGCTCTGGCTTTTGCAATACGTGAGCTGACTTCAATGTATATGCGACCATCGTTGCTGATGCAGCTGGCAAATTTAGTTTAATATCCAAAGTACATGCGAGTACAGCCTGTTGGCCTATTGGTCTTAGAGTGTGGACGTTGAACGGCGCTATGGAAACGGGGCAGCGTTGTCTTACATGGGGATGACGGCGATAGGAGCCCAATGGAAGATTTGCGAGCATAGCCGTGGATGATCAACTTCCAGTGGTTATGCAGCTGCCGTCAATTAAGCTGGGATTTACAGAAGGAAGGTTAGTAGTGGGGGTCAAAAGGAGAGTAAGGGAAACAGGTGGAAAAAAGAAGGGAGTCGTCAATAGCAGGGTGTTTTCGCTTATGCCCTCCGCTGTATGCAGCAGATAAGGCGATACATTGAAAACTGTAGAAGACTGATGCGGGACCTAGTTGAAGTATTGTGACATAGCCATGGTTCTATGTAAGATGGGATATTGCCAGGGCGCCCAAACCTAGATAAAAGAACGATTAGGGTCCTCAGTAGAAGTCTTTAGATCAAAATCCTGTTCACAAGGTAGTTAGAAAGTGGTAGAGATCCGGTGCTAGAGAAAAGGACGCCATCCTCTTTCCAATTCATAACCTAGATGACCAGAAGATTGAGTTTCTCTGGCCATTAAAAATTGACTAACCTGGTAAGATTAGTTCTCAAGGAGGCCGGGAGCATCACCCAGTACAGCTCAATGTGTCGAAGGGGTACACAAACCATCGCACTACGTTAGGCTCTCGTTGCTACAGGGAAACACGTATATGAGAGGAGTGAAGCGTGCTTGAGAACGTGAACTTATATGGTTGCGCAAATGTCAGACAGTTTGTTCTACGGAGGTACAAATAATATTTTGATGTTATGAAGATAGTGGTGAAGGGCCACACTTCGAAGTTGGCCTCGGTTGGAGCGTTTCGACGACCTGGTTGGAGTCCGAAAGACGATGAACACGTTTGGCTGGATACAGTTGTTGACATGGCGAGGAGCCAATCGCAATGGCATTTGTGTTGTGAGTTTCCTTGTCCCTCCACCTCCCGCTTACTCTCCCCCTCCAACCACGGTCTCATTTACCAGGAATAATGTAACCCCGTTTTGCGGCACAATAACCGGCTGTTAGCTCTCCGGAACGATGTCCATTCGCTCCTGGTGACAGCCCGCGTGCCTCCTGCATGTATTTTCTTTTTTTTGTACTGCGGCACAATAGTTGAGGGGGTTTTCCAATTCTAGCTAACAAGTATAGTGATGATGAAGATAAGGGAATGCTACGTGGCGATGCTACATACTGAACTAGTCACAAACGAGGAGGCATTGAAGGCGAAGAAAACCTCGCGACAGAGTAGCATTATCAGTCGTGTACCAGTGAGACGAAATGAAATACCAGGGGCTCCAGTCAGATGCGTTGAATAGTTCGTCCATATAATAAAAGCGGCTGTAGTTATTCTATCATTAATCATGCAGATGAACTGAACGCATGCGAAATTCCGTGTCAGGCTTTATAATATATTCCGATGTCTGTTGTTGGGCACAGGGATGGAAACACCATTAGGGCGGAGGCCGGAATTAGAAGATCATCCCTTTAGTGATACTAGTACTGCCATTGTGACAGCACACTCTGTAACCGGAATGGAGGTTGGCGATTGAAAGGCGGAAATTCGCTTGGTACAAGCTCTGGTTAGTCAGAAATCCCGTTTAGATGACAAGTCAGTGAACAATGTCCCGCGGTTGTCTGCGGACAGCTAAGCATAGGGAATTCAAGGGAAACGATCTCGTTAAATCTTTTGAAACTGTTGCCACAGTGAGTTCATTACTCTGTTGCGTTGACGATACGTCCTTTCCCAACAACATCATCGGCGCCTTCGCAATTTAGCCCACATGTGGTGGGAAAACCGTGTGAGCAACGAGCGTGTTCGATGTCTTGTTTACAGCACAGGAAAAGGAAATGAACCGCTCAGCACCGTTATTTCACGCACCAGGCTCCGATGGCTGGGCCACGTATTGCGCATGCCAGCCCATCGACTCCCGCGACGTGCATTGTTTGCTCACCCGTGGTGTGGATGGAAGAAGAGGGGTGGCCAAGCGATGACTTAATCCAGAGGAATGAAGGCCCTCACTTTTGAGCTGGCCTCGGTTGGAGCATTTCGACTATCTGGTTGGGGTCCAAAAGACGGTGAACACGTTTGGTTGGACACACTTGCTGATATGGCTAGGAGCCGACCTCAGTGGCGTTCGTGCTGTGAGTTTCTTTGTTCCTCCCCATCCCTTTTAGCTTCCCCCTTCATGTACGATCTCATTTCGTGGCGTAATATAATTTTGCATAATAATTTTTTTCTTTTTGCCTACTAGCCGGCTGGTACCTTACCGGAACGATGCCCATCCGTTGCTGGTAGCTCGGCTGGCATGCAACTGTTGTATTTATTTTCTTTTTTTATGTGTTGCGGCACAGTAGCTGAGGTGTTTTCCACCTAAAGCTAACGTGTAATAATGACGATGATGAACAACATAGGCCGATGAAAATAGGCCGCATGAATATCCCAGCGTGTGCATCTACAACTGTATTAATAAAAAAATAATGTGTCAGCTATACGCGGTAACGGCGGTTCGCTGCCGCGTGACCACCGCCAGTTGCGTGCAGGCTGAGTATACCGCGAGGACGCCTACCACAACGCGGATTCGAATCGTTAACCTTATGGTTGCAAAGCAGACGCACAGATCACTAGGC